AAATAAACTCACAAATCTTACGATGGATTTTGAAAATGTATCCATGTAGCTAGCAGCTCTTTAAAACAGATCAAATCATTTTGAATAGAATATGAAGTTTTAACATTTTTAAAATGAAAAATTATACATTTTCAATTAGCAAAGTGTTACAATGGCAATAATCTCTGGGACATTTCATAAATGTCAGCCATTAATTGTGTTCTGTGAACTTTCTGTGCCAAAAATGTAATCTTTGTCCATTTATTTTATGAAATTTTACGAAGAATCGCGGATTTACTCAAAAGTCAGAGTTTAGAGATTAAATGAACCGAAAAGTTTTTGGTGGAAAACTCATGCATGGAAATCCATGAGACATCTGAAAGAAAAATTCCGGGGGAAATATTGCTGAATTTCGTCGTGCATTTCAAGAAAGGTGTTTTTGAAACTGGAATTTTCTAGCATTTCTACGTAATTATTTGAGGGTCACCAAAACTTTGAATAGTTTTATATTCAGATAATTCAGAGAAAAAGGTTCACAAATCTTATGAATTTGTACTTTATATATGGCACCTGTATAAATTTGGCACCCTGCAAATGGTCAAATGGTATTCCTCCTCAGAGCGATAGACAGACGAAGCCCATTACCTATATGGAGCAAAGATTGCATGGCATTTAAAGAACCAATTGTAAAAAGGAATTTACGAACTAAATCACTTATAACGCTTCTAGAGAAAGCTCCAATCACTAAGATGAGAAAAGGAAGATGGATGTTCATTCTGCTCAAGGCATTCCTTAAAATATTTAATTTTACGTTTCCCTCGGTGTCTTCGAATGTTCTGAGGCTCATAATACTTCGTGGCCTGGAGCACTTGGTCAAGGAGCGTAGGAAACTAGCCCAACGGATTATTGTGTAGGAAGAAGCAGTCTCACAACTCTGACTTCCGGTAGGTAGGAGTAGGTTTATTGTGGTAGCTCATGAGCACATTAACATTCATTAACAGCATCTCTCCCCGCAGCTTCACTTTTTATAGGCTTCAATCGTGATGTATTTTGGGAAATGGCCTCTGCGTGTGTGGTTGTGACTTTTTGTTGGGAACGGTATTCAAGAAAAGCTGCATGAAAATATTTTCGTATTTCTTATAAAAATGAGAAAAAACTCAAAATTCAATCCATTGAAGTTGAGTAGGAAGCGCTAGTTTCATAATAAACACCATTCTAATATACCTTGACTTGTGTCGATAAAAGACTAATTGTGGCCTTCAACAAGACAACCGTTGAAAACTTTACCCTTCGAACGCAAAGTTTTCCATTGAAATCTCAAATTCGATTCTTCGACCCGACTTCAACAATCGCTCTCCTGAAAAGCATGCCTCCATAGACTATAAGGCCCCTTCTCTAGTGATTGTTACAACTTTAAGGCAGACTTTCTTCCGTCGTTCTGTTATAACATGACCATACCAGACAAGCTGAAAAATCTGAAATTGATAATCTAATTAGACGTATTTCTATCAAACGGAACTAAGCGTCATTGCGGAAGGAGAGGAAAGGGGGGTTTGGATTGGCGGGTTTTGCGGAACGCGATGCTCGTTCCGTCCTTTATTCGCAATGCTTTTCCATGGCGCTTAGTTCCGTTTGATAGAAACGCGCTATCCGGGATTCTAAAATCCTCAAAAGGAACTCAATTTGGTGCTTAGTTGCGTTTAACAGAAATACGTCCAACTAATGATAGTAAACGTGGAATTCTTCGAGCCACATTTCTACGATCAAACCTTCTTCACTAAAAAAGTTTTCCCTGTACAGCAGACTGATTATTGAAGTTGATGGACAAAGCTATAGACAAAGAAGACATAGAAAGTATGAAGCGATCCTATTGGTTGAAACGGGTGGTTCCTATCGACAAAGGGAGAAAATGATAGACTAACTGTCGGGTTTCTCGTGAGTTGCCGTTAGTTAGTCTATTACCTACCTCCTTTGTCCATTGCAACCACCTGCTTTCACCCATAAGATCTCTCCATATCTCTTTTGTCTCCTTTGTCTATAGCTTTGTCGATTAATTTCAATAATCGGCCCGCAGCTGAGTCTTATCTCGTGTCAGATCGGCAAAAACACCGTTTCAATAATCAGCATCGAGCGTGGGCTCGTTGCGTCCGGCGTAACCGGATCCAAATAAGACTATCAACACCACGCGAAACGATTCAATTCTGCGTTTCATTTGAGGTCCTCAAACCGCCTATTACGGCGAAATTTCGCCAGCCGATGTCTGCCGGGGCGTCGTAAATTTTCTCCATAAAAGTGCTCGGCTAAACGTAAGAATCCCGTGTGTCCACAGCCGCGGGAAGGTCACGCGACGAAGCTTTGGAAAGCAGCGAGGCTGGGTTTGCTTTACAGCCTACTTGTTGCCCGACTCGGTTGTTCACTTGTTCCCACATTTTCGCACGGACGAGTCGCGGCCGGTGCCACGCAACGCCCGTGCATCTTCGCCCGCGATGCACCGCACCGCCTTGCGTTGCGTTGCGTTACGGCGCGCGCCACGCATGTCGCGGGGCAATTACGCGCAATTATAGCCGTCGCTCCGTCGCCAGCTCCCCACGGCCGCGGCTATGCAAATTCGATGCAGGCGCGCGGATTCCGGGCAGCGCGCCGATGCCAGCGGCGTCTTCTATTGGAAAATGTATCTCACGAGGAAATGAGGTCCACCATAAATGTTTCCTCGTCGAAATTTCGAGAGTTAAAAGGTAAATGTGGTTATATAGAGATTAAAGTTTATGGTAAGCTGGGCTGGAGGAGGTGAAGGGGACGTCCTGTGAAGAGATGGCGGCATGGCGTTGACATTGTCAATGCCCTGCCATGTCAACTTGACAAGGAGATGTTGCGGTGTCAGTTGCCCGATAACCTCTACGAGGATAGGCATATGCGGCGTTTGGGTGTCGCAAAACGCCAGAGTGCGTTGTAGAAGCGGCTTTATTTTATGTACTACTTCGTCAAATTGCAATCATGGGCCTGTTGCAAACTTCAGCTAGAGCAACGCGAAGAGACATGTCTGTCAGGAAGGGACTCAAAAATCACGATGAGTGCATCGGAAAAGTCTGCATGCACTCCTAAATTCACAATCTGCGTGAGAAATACACATTTTTTAAGCTGCCCGCTTCAAAAACGATAAAATGGCACAGATGAATACATCGTAAGAAAACATTTTCCATCCAACTCCTTAATTTGACAATAAGATGCTACGCAATATTCATCAAGGCCGACGCCAACCTGCCAAAGTACACTTAACGATTAGGATTTTTAATAACCGGCGTGTTTATATTAACGAATCCCTTTGCGTCAGTAAAGACCATGGTGTTTCCTCACGATTCGCGTGCGGAAGGATCAGCCATGTTGAATATTGTAATGCATCCTAGTGCGCAAGGGTTGGATGGAACGGCTCCTCTTACGAAATTTTCTCCTGTGCCATAGTTTCGTCTTTGAAGAGAGAATCTGAAAAGAAACGTACATTTCTTACACAGATTATGGAGATAGGAGTTTTTCATAGACACTGGTTTTTCCTTAATAACACCGAAAAAAAACTTAAGTTTATTTAACATTCTGAAAGTAAAAAAAAGTGTGCGAGAACTTAAAAAATTCTGAATTATCCACTACAGCAGTTACTTTAGCAATGTCGAGATGTAAAACTAACTGCTGTGGCGGGTAATTCAGCATTTTATAAGTTCTCGCACAGTTTTTTCACATCCAGAATGGTAAATCAACTTCACTCTTTTTTTCGGTGAAGTAAAAATATATGTACTGTGCTGCTTTTCCTTCCGTATCATTGGTCCTTTACCACTCGGGAAGTGTGGGGCGCTTTGGCAGAATCGGCAACAGGCGCTCCTCGTCATGTCTGGCGTGTGGGGCGTTCGCACGCACTTCTCGTCCGCCCGTGCGATCCGTCCTGGAAAGTGCTCTGACTCTGACCGTCCGGGCACCAGCCGCTCCTTGGCTTCCGACCAAGAAGCCCAACTCCCTATTCCGGCACGACATTTGACCCCAAGCCTCATTCAGGGAGACCTCAATGAAGCCTCTGCACGGGCAATTATGGAGCAGTTCGGCCTGCAAAAATCCTGCATACACATGTCTCCTTTTAACTTCGCAAATTTGACGTGCCATATCAGGACTTACATGTAGCAATGGCGGATGTGAAAAATTACCTTTTCGAAACACGTTAAAAAAACTGTTTTGGCATCGAGAAAATTTTGAGAAAATACTTGAGATGTGATCTTCGAGATCTGTACAGTATGCCAGAGGCAAACATATTAAAGTCTTGTGTGACCAAAACAGTTTTTTAAGCATGTTTCGAAAAGGTAGGTTTTTACACCCGCCATTGTTACATATAAGGCTCATATATGGATTTCATTTTGCAAAAAGGAACCAAGAGCATTTCAGTGTTGCTACGATTGTGCAACTTACATTCTGCGCAATACATTTACCGAAATTATGTAAAAAATTAGGTTTACAAAGGTAATTGTTGTCTTGAATTTATAATTCATAGGGCGTATATATAAACTTGTTCACATGATCAGTTTATATTTGCAAAATAAAAAAAGTTGCACAATCTTAGCGACCTTGGAATGCTTCTTGTTCCTTTTTGCAAAATGCAATCCATATAATTGATACATTTTTTCCGACGTACTTGGTTTTTTCTCTTTTTTAAAATTTGATGGTTGTCAGAGCAAGATATTGATGGTAAATGGTCTTCTGGAATAGGTATAAATACTTAAAGCAATATGCAATATGTTTTTGAAAGCTCTTCAAAATTTCACGAGGAAAACTATGAGCAAAAAAAAAAAGGTTTTCAATTAAGATTTGTGAAATGGCAATAATACGAATAACGTCTCTAGTTAACTCTGTTTGCAAGTGATTACCATACTTACAATATCCGATGGTAATGTGTTCTTTCCTCTTTTCTAGGTTCTTTTTTCTTTGAAGTGTCTATCAAGTAAAGTTCTAACAGTATTTACAATTTTTCTTTTTTTATTTTGCAGGGATGGTTTAGAATGGGATCGGCCAGCCATGGAAGTCAAAGTCCAGGAAGGTTATTCAACAAAGGGCCCAGGTAATTTGCATTTTGGTTTTTGTCTGTAGAAATATTAGAATGCAACCAAAAATGTTCTCTTTCACTGTCATCATAAAATATAAGAGTCGGTGGATCGCAGCTCAGATGGATTACAGTTTGCAATAAGGAAATACTGTGTCTGACTCTTCCATAAAAGCACGTATCCGCATAGGGAAACCAATAGCATGTATGTTGTTTCTAAAATGGGCCAGAAATAATGGTTTCTTATTGAAAAATGTAACCCATATTACACTGAATCTGGTTTTGATGGTCAACTTTTAAAGTTGTAAGAAATGATAGGAGGATTTCATTTATACAAACATTTGGAAGACCACGTTTCCTTTTCTTCTTTGTAGCAATGCTGCACTCATCACCGATTGATGGAGGCAATGGTGATGATTTTATTACTGCGGCGTCGCTTGTCCTTCTAATGACAATATTTTCGTTAAACTCTGCGCAGGATTTCGACTTTTATGTTAGATTTACCATCAAAAAACGATCTTGTGACACGCGTAACTAAGACGTCCCATAAAAACAAAGCTGATCAATACGCTCATCAAAGGACACCAGTTTTATGTAAAAAGGAAGGATCTACCAATGCATTAAATCAAATCAAACTATGAAACACAAAAATCCTATTTACGTAATCCCTTTTGATTTAATTCATTTTCACGTACCTCCTTTTAGCATTAACACGTCCGATTATCAATGGGTTCAATTTTTATGGGAATTTTTCGTATTTTGATCGTCTAACGAGGGCTCTCTAACATTTCGTTCAGAAAAAATGAACCAATAAAAATAAAACCAAAGGAGCAAGCATCATAAAGCCTCATTTATATGGTCCAATTTTCATATCGACATTTTGTTTCGGACCCACCCATTTTCCGTTCGAAAGTATTTCATTAAGTTGATCTATGTAAGAGCCACGCAACGGTTAGTATGATTCCACTTCAGCCTTGCCAAGGAAAAACGCCGTATGAACATTCGAGAGTTGCCAAACGTCCTCCGATAAAATGTTCATTTTCGAGAAAAGTTATGAATATTATTCACCCAAATTTTCAGAAACTTCAGATCGATTTTCGAACAAAATTCTCTGAAAAATTGGAAGAAAAATATTCACAAATTTTCCTGGATATTCATGATTTGTCAAAGGAAATTTGGCAACGTCTGAAGGCTCATACGGCGTTCTTCATTAGACTTCAGGCTCCCGTCAGTTCCTGATCTTGACTCGTCGTTTTTATCTCCGTACATAAAATATCCATTGACTCTTGCGGGACGGAGCCATAAATTTTAGGGTTATGCTTCTTCGCACATTAACTTAACGCCTCGCCGGCCTAAAGCAAATCAATTTGATTCCGCCTATCCCATTTAAAATACAGCAAGTCGGTCCGAATAAAAAGAAAAAATATCTTAATTCTAAGGTGCGCGCGTCCGAAACGTGCATATCTAACGTGCTCATAAAACGCAGATCTTGAACAAGAGCTCTCGGAGGGCTTTCCAACCATGCTTGTAATAAAACTCATAGCGATAAAAAATGGAAGAAAAAGTACGGGAGATGAGCAAAGAGAGAAACGGGAGATGGCAATTTCGTGACCAGTAGCAGGAGCGAGCGGCCGGCTAGTATATTTGAGCCATAGTCGGCGCTGCCAATATTAACGAACTCAACATACTGCGGGGAAATAATATTAAAATTATTTCAATCCAGGGGGTAAAAGCAACGTAGAGCTCGTATATTTTTTGTAAATTCCGAAAAAAATACACATCAATTGAATCGGGACGTGAGAAAACCGCTAATGTCCATTTTTACAGTCTTCAGTTTTTTTGAGTTGATGATACTTTTAAAAAGTTGACACAACCCTAAAAGTGATGAAAGGAATCGTTTTGGGATTAAGGTAACCCGGAGACAAGTATCAATGCCATTTTCTGGTTGCATCCAACTTCGAAAATTATTATCAACTCAACTAACTGAGGACTGGAAAAATGGACATTAGCGGTGTTCTGATTTAATTAAAAAAGTATGAAGGTCTGAATAGGTTAGTTGCATTGGTCACAGAATCGTGCTTTGATGATTCATTCGTGTAAATTAGCCGAAAATCATAAGATCTGTCCTAACAGCAACTTTCTCCGTTCAATATATTGGACGAGATATCGCCCTTTGAAAAGTCGGGTTTTTGACGTCATCCACCTCGGTAGTGACACCCTTGGTTTCTTCCACGTTGCTTTCATCAGTCGGTGTGACGCACATTTGCACCGGTTATTCAACGCGAAAATCGAAAAAAAGCAAGGTGGAAGAAACCAAGTGTGTCCCTAGAGCGGTGGGAGACCTCAAAAACCCGACTTTTCAAAGGGCAGTAACTGGGTTATAACTTAGAAAATTGCTGTTTGGTCGGATCTTCTTATTTTTAGCTAATCCACAACAATCAAGCATCAAAACACGGCTCTGTGACCAGCGCAACTGACCCATCGTATATATTTTTTTCGACAAGAGATGGCCGTTCCTTACAATGATTCTTGTATTTCTGAACATTTTATCGTATTGTCCAGACTTTTCCCGATGCTTGAAGAGAAAAGAAATTTTCAAAGGAATGCCTACAATCAATTACTTTCATCTTTTGATCTAGCTTCACCCACGCTCTCGCTGAATTTGCCATTAATAAGTACTGCAACTTTCAAAGTCGTAAATTTCAACGGTTTTTCAAACAACTGATTCGAAAACTGTGTCAAAAGCAGCACCGCCGAATGCATTGGTGGACTAGCTTTTTGTATCGATGCCCGTCCCCGATAATTCAGAATTATTATAAAACAAGGCAACATTGATTACCGAAATTTTGCCAAATTATGCATGTAAGCAGCTGAAGCATAACACAAAATTCGATAATTTTGGATGAAGTCGGCAACAGAGGACGTGGGTAATGATCAGGGAGCTTAATGGTGAAGATCAAGCTGAAGCAGTAGAACTCGAGCTTTAATTGTGACTGAGATGCGCATCATAGTTGCCAAATTTAACGGAAAACGCCGAGTTTTTCGTCTTGAAATTGTTAAAATAAAGATAGCTAACTGCAATTCCGGTGTTTTTTTATATGAAATGTAATTGTATTTGAAATGTTTCAATGTTTCATTTTGTTTTATCAATGTTTTGTTTCATTAAGTTGTATGACGAATGATTTCAATCTTTTTAAGGGATTTGTTTCAGAAAGAAAAAGGCGTAAGTGAAAAACTGACGCTCGGTAATGAATGACACGATTAAAAAGATCAGTGCGTGAAATTGAATGTCCGAATCCCGAATCCCGAAAATAACCTTCACAATTATCATACGAAAACGAGCGAACAAACAAACTAGTTCACAGGGGAAAAACCGGCGCGGAATCTTTGTGAAAAATCGTTTTTACCCGAAAGAAAAAAATCCACAGACGCGGTACTTCAAAATACGCTTTAAAATACTATCTTAATTCCGCAAATTTTGAATTGAGAAGTGAATTTTGAAAAGTTTGATTTTAAATAAATTAGTTGTTTTGAAAAGGGAACAGGTCCATTCCTCGATGAGTCTAAGTTAGCATGTCTTTTTATGCGAGCCAAGGCCTGTTCAAAAATTGACTTTTTTCCTTTTGAAAACAACTGATTCAATTTTAGCATGACAATCCAATAGGCTGACCGTCTTCAGCACCAACTTTGCCCTACCATGCCTTGCGCCTTAATATAGCACCGTGTGTCACACGGTGGGACGAGAGAAGTTGGTCCGCCTTCATTTTTATGAGAATGCAATTTGGTCATCCTGCGAACACGAATAGATACATCCTGACGTATGTTGTGAGCACAGTGTGTTGCGTGGTGGGACGAGGGAAGTTGGTCCGCCTTCATTTTTGAGAATTTCCAACTTGGCCATCTTGTAAACACGAATAGTTGCATCCCAACATACCGCCGAGTCCCTTGTTTCCCAGGGAATTGTTTCCTTTTCCACCGACCATCTGGCAACGTGGATGGACGAAAGCGAAGGCGCAAGAGCAAGAGCACTAACACCTCTGCCTCTGCGGCCTTATATTCGGGCGAATTTATCACCGGAATCGGCCACTTAAAACGCACTCACTCGGTGCGCGCCGCTTCTCGCGTCTTTTATCCTTTAATCAGTTCTGCTTTATTGGGTCCCCTCGCACGAAAATATGTGACCCACTAATTTGAAATGGAGCCGGGAAACGACTTCCTAATTTTCAAACTTGCCCCGGCCGCGCGGCGGCCCAATGAACCGGCGACGCGCCTCTCGATGACCGTTAAAGGCTCAATGTTGCCAATTTTATGGGAAAATTTTCCTTTTACAAGAAAGAACGGGGACTCGCTAATTATATTTTTACTAGGAGAATGTTAGACTTTTCTAATTGATGAGTTCAGTGATTTCTTCTGATTCCATTAAAAAATCAACAAAATTTTTTTAACAAATAGAGAACAACCTTATTCTTGCCAAAAATAAGTTCGATCATTCTTAACCGTTAAAGGCTCAATGCTGCCAATTACACAGGAAATTTTTCGTTTTCTAACCCAAAAGAACGTGAACTCGGTGATGATATTTTTACTAGGAGAAAGTTAGACGTTTCTAATGGAAGAGTCCAGTTATTTTTTCTGATTTCATTAAAAAATCAACAAAATTTTTTAACAAATAGCGCACAACCTTATTCTTGCCAAAAATAAGTTCGATCCTTCTTAACCTTCCAAAGGCTCAATATCGCCAATCATGTGGAAAAATTGTCATTTTCCCACACGAAACGACGCCAAGAACTCGGTAATTATATTTTTACTAGGAGAATGTTAGACGTTTCTAATAGAAGAGTTCAGTGATTTCTTCTGGTTTCATTCAAAAATCAACACGTTTTTTTTCAGAAATAGCGCACAACTTTATTCTTGCCCAAAAATTTCGTTTTTCAATCATTCTTCAAACCTTGGAATGAAATTACATTCCTTTTTTAGAGCACCAACGACGAGTAGCCATATCCATGGGAAACGGATCCTTA